GCAGTTTATCATGGTTTATAAGTCATATATCAACTTTACTTTATGACAAATTTCGTTGTGTGAAACCCCAGGGATTTCTGTAACAGAGCCTTGGTGTGCGCATGCGAGAAATGCAGGGGGTCCAGATTAATTATCGTCACATGACCTGAAACTTCACGAGGCGAGGTATATATGAATGAGTTTCTTCAAACGATTCTCCTCCCGCCCGGCCGTTGGAATGTGGAATGAGGGGCATCGGAAATCCTTACACTTTCAGAGGATCATCTCCAGCATGGCCTTCTCCGTCCAGGATATTTTAATCATCCACTTACCTCTGGAACACAGGCATCCTTGCATTGCAGAAAGAGCTGCTGCTGTACAGCTCTTCTGTTCCTCGTGGATGGATGATGGCTGTCAAATATGCTTAGACCCTCTTACTGACTCGAGGCTGAAGTGTCAGATTATAATAAAGCCTTATTTCGACCTCAGGATGAATGCATGCCTCTTGGTCACTTACTTACCAGCAGATGACCAGCTAAGTGCAGGGGGTTGTGCTTGTTGATGTGGAAAGACTGGGCTTGAGCTAGACTCTCTGCCAAACACTAAACAGTTATTTTTGGTGAGTAATTTAGACTGCTCCTGTGGCGTCCGGGAGGGCATTTTAGTTGCTATCAGGATTCACTCTGGCTTGCCAGGCCCCAGGGAGGATCAGCCCAGGGGCAGGAGGGCAGGAGGGCAGTAAGGTCTGGTGCTGGTCCTTCTTCCAGGCCTGGGCCGGAGCCCCTCCCTGCGGGTGCTGCAGCTGTCCGGCAACAAAATATCCGCCATCCGCCAGCAGGACCTCCGGAACTGCACGGAGCTGAGAGCCGTGTTCCTGCAGCACAACGAGGTCTCTGCCATCGACCCCTCGGCCTTCAGGGACCTGGGGCAGTTACAGGTAACTTGAGCCGACCTCTGCCCCGGCCAGCGGACAGGACAGCTCTGTTAATAGTCAAGTGCTTTCTGCAGAGAACTCGATCGCTGTCCTGGCTGATGAAAGACAGACTTGCCCTAGGTTTGTTTTATGCGACTTTAAATATATGCTGACAGTAAACACCACAACAATGGAGATCTTGGGTCTAAATTGCATATTTAGTCAAATTAAATGAAATATTAGTGTTTAAAATAAATACCATATTAGGTGCGGCCATCACCTACTGCTTTAAAGCATCTTTTTAAACATTCATCTCACTTTAGGAGTTTTTCAGCAAAAAAAAACAACTCTGTGCTGTTATGAGAGATTGTGAAGCTGTTACAGAAGATTAGTAATACAATAAATCATCTCGTTCTGTATCTGCACAATTAAGAAGTAAATTAAAATCACATCCAGGCTGTTCATCCCCTCGCAACACCAGGTCTTGGATCTCAGCTATAATGCACTGACCACCATCCCAGCGTCCGCCTGTGTTTCGCTGACCCTCCCCGGTTTGAGAGTGGACTTGAGGAACAACAGCTGGCTCTGTGACTGTGGGCTCCTGGCAGTGAAGAGGTGCTTGGCCTCTATCAGGGGTGCATCGCAGCAGTCCTGGCCCCTTGTGTGCGAGGAGCCAGCGGGCCTGGCTGGGAGAGACCTGCTGACCCTGGGAGAGTCCGAGCTCTCCTGCAAGAGGCCCGGCGGCGAGCCCGGACCTCCTCGAGCAGTGACCACGCGCACTGGGCGGCACACGGTCCTTCCTTGTGGGATCTCAGATCAAGGTACTCAAAGATAAGGACGCTCGTGGATTGTTTTTAGGATATGTTCGCTACTACTTTTGAAGAAAAAAAAAAACATTTAAAGGAAAATTGAGCAAATCTTGGTCTGTATGGTCTACAGCCGAACTTGCTGTACATCCCAATGTTAAATCGCTCGGTCGTGTACACAGTCCATATGTACTGCACCACTGTCTCCATCTCGATCTCTACATTCACATTCTGATGAGCTGAGACCCTGTAGCCACATCAGGACTTACACCTGCTTGCCGACCCCTGGCGGACCAGCATTTTAACTAGAAAGCTGCTGAAATCCAAGTGTCATTTTTGGTTTTATCACAGGTCACCCAGCAGGGCTGTTGGGGCTCTCAAACTCAGCTGCTGGCAGGGCTGCCATCTCCTAGTTTTTGCTCCACCTGAGCTCTCGGCTACAGAACTTCTTCTAGCTGCTAAATTAACCTGGCGATGCATTTCTTTTCTGTTCCAGACGCCGGGCTGAAGTACTGGCTGACGCCACACGGACAGGTCTGGGAAACTCACACAGGCCGGCTCCAGCTCCGTGAGGATGGGGGTTTGGCGATCAGGGGCGTGCAGGAAGGAGATGCAGGACCTTACGTGTGCGCGGCCGGAGGAAAGCTGGGTAGTGTCTTCATTCTGGATGTGCACGCACAAAGTCACGGGCCTGTCAGACCTGCTAGGACGGCCAGAGATACACGGGCTTCCCCAAGGAAGCAAATCGGACACTCGGACTTCGTTCTGGCAGTTTGCCTGTCTGTCTTCATCACGTTCATATGCGCTTTCTTCATCGGAGTGGCGGCCAGACCTCTCCTGGACCTCTTCTGGCACAGGATTCACCGACGGAAAAGATCTTCGGCCGAGCACACGTACAAGAATGAGGGCTTTTCAGAGGGCGGTGCGGATGCAGAGAGAACAGAAAACGCATCGGTTGGCGAGATGCGTAATCCCACGTGGAGCAGAGCCGCCAACGATAACTACGTTACCATCCTCCAAGCTCCACCCAGCGCTGAAAGCAGGCAGGACTGCGTGTCAGAAAATGGCAGCTCCACCAGCAGTCAGAGTTCAGTGGTCAGAGATCAAACTCTGACAGGGGCCGAATCAAAGAACAGGGAAGTCGACCAAAATATTTTTGTATCTGTCCCTCCGTGGTACCCTCACTGCTTGAGTGACACACACCAGCACTTCAGGGGAGAAGACAACCAGGGCCTCACCCTCCCACCATGCCATGAAGGGCAGGATGTGTCAGGTCACCTGACGTCCAGGCCAGAAGAGGAGACTGCTCCCTCCACAGACCATTTAAAGGGGGACCTTGAGGCAAAGAATGCAATTTTGGGTCCAGGGTTTAATCAACAACCCTCCAATCTTAATGAAGTGAAAGATCTTCAGCAACCAGAAGGTTATTCCCACAGCATGGAGGAGGACGGCAACGTCGGGCACCAGGAGCCCAGCCGTCTGCTGCCATCGTCAGCTGTCAGCGAGACAGGAAGTGCTTGGGTGAAGAACACTGGTGATATAGAGGAGGACCTTGCAGTGAGAGAGAAAGACGTAAATAGCACTGTTTGGGAACCCTTTCCCTTCAGAGATCATAGCGCCTCCTTTGAGGGGCAACTCGATCGCTCACAAGTCCTTGTCCATGACTCTCAGGCACCTGCAGCTACCAGGAGGGAAGGGGCAGAGTGGACATCTCAACAGGCACCAGCTGAAGAGAGAGACGCTGTGAATTTCTACTACTCCTCAGGCCTAGTGGCGGAACAGAAAACATCAGCTTCAAGCAGTGCTGGAAGTGCTCAGAGCGAACCTGGCGATCTGCAGAAAGCCGAGCTTCTCAGTGGGGGCACACCCACAGGAAGAAGTGACAGCTGCTGTCTTGATCCCTGGACAGCACCATCCAGGGATGCTGAGCAGTTTGGGAGATCTGATCAAATGTCAAACATCTTAGATACCCATAAAGAAACAGACCATAAAACCCTCAAAGGGTTTCCTGAATTGACGGAAGGAATACTGAGACAACTGAGCCCAGAATTTGATTCTGAATTCTGGAATGATAGTGGAGAGAGCTTCGAGTTCAGCGACTCCAATGTCGAGGACAACATGAACGCCACATTGTTTTCGGATTTCAACCTAGCCCAGCAATTAAAGATGGAAAGGTGGTCTCCTTTTGGTGGACCAACCCCAAACGAACCAAGAGAAGATGAAAGTAATTCAGAAGTGCAAAACGGCAGCTTCAACAGCAGTCCCGATCTCTCACGTCACTGTCCTGAGAGGACCAAGTTTTCAGAAAAACAGCCTGCTGCAAACCTGCAGGTCATCGACAACAGAGAGTGGGGCAATCGGATCACGAGTAATACATGTGAAAATGCTGATTATGATGGCAACCTGAATTCTTCTCCAACATTTAACCTTGACTCAGAAAGCACACTACACCTGGAAAAATGTTGCACAGGTGCTTTCTCCACCCAACACACCACTGTACCCCACGGTGGAGACTTCTTGTGTCCCGACTCCCCGTCTTTTAAGGACATGGAGGAAGACGCAGAAAACGCCAAAACTGAAGAGGCACGGGAGTCTGACCAACATGGGCATCTTGCTCTAGACAGGACAAAGAGCAGCATGGAGGAACACGAAGCTGCAGGCTGGACGGTCTTCAATTGCAATCCAACCTTGCAGAGCTTCTCGGGTGAGACAGGAGAAATGACAGAGTGGCCACCTGCTCCCACAGAGGCAGGGGCTGATGACTTCCACGCGGCCTCTCCTCCAGGTGGGACACCGCAGAATGCAAGTCCCCAGAGCACCCGGTCTCCTCCAAGTGAGATGTGGTCAGACCTAATTTTACCAGATGAGATGTTTGCTACTAGACCAAGACACCTAGAAAGTGAAGTTGCAGAAACGGACAGCAGTCTTTCTCAGGATTCATCTGGAAGCTCAGCTACACTAGTAAACAGTGAAGGCATTCCAACCACAGAAGAGGACTTCTCAGAGTCTCCGAGACTGGCGACTGGCCCAGGCGAGGATGAGCAGGTCGACACACAGCTCCTTCGTCATCAGGAGCCAGTGGAAGCTTGGCTTTCTGCGCCGGCAGGGGAGAGGAGAGAGACGGTTCAGTCGTTCTCGCACTGCAAACAGAAACTGGACTGGACCAAAGGAGGATATTTTGTCCAAAAGAGAAAAATAATGGACACCTTCTCCGCCGGCTTCTACTCCTCTGTGTCCAAAACCACAGAAGCAAGTCGGAAGGGATGCGAGGAGGAAAACACACCGTCTGCAGCCCACGCCTCACGTATTAGATCTGAATCCTCAGGTGCTCCAATGTCGGGGAGCACCGTGACCTTTTCAGCAGGACAACTGCAGGGGGAGCCTGCGTACATCTCACCCAGGGAAATTACAGAAACAGAAAAACCCCTGGGGGCCAGTTCACCCAAGGCCTGTGAGCGGGGCTGGGGAGGATCTCGGGGTCCTGAGGGGCCTCTCCTCGCCCTCCCCACCTCAAGCCCAGAGGAGCAGCCCGGGAGCCCGGCAGCTCCCCTCTTCCTCTCGGAGGCCAGGAGCAACGAGGGGAGCGAAGCTTGAAACATTTTCACATCCAAGCTCATACCTCACTCAGAGGTGAATTCAGTGAAACACATTTCCTAGAACTTTCCATTTGATCAGCCTGCCCGCAACAGGACTGGGCCGCAGCAGCAGCATCTAAAGGCAGCTGGACTCAACTACACTGCGCCAGCCCAGCTGCAGGACTGAAGGATCATTCACACCAACAAGCTCTCAAGACACATGGGAAATCTCAAAAGAGCTTTAGTCCGGTAGAAAAACATGAATTTTAAGAATGCAAAAGGATTTACAATTATTGGCTAAAGTACTGATCATTGGGCTGCCCTTTAAGGGTTTAGTCTTTTAAAAGCATTATCTGGTCACAGATCTAGAATCACCTCAAAGCTAAAATTCTGTCAAATGTATTATTCTGTATAGTTAGGATCTTATAAAGTAATCCATTCTTAAGCCCCTTAAATAATTTTTTAGTTTTTGACTATTTCAAACAAAAGTGAGCTGATTGATGTTTGTAACTGTCCTACCACGAGTCTGATAGTAAGAGATGGCTGCTGAGGCAGCCCATGTTAACTGTGCAGCAAGACTTGTCTGTGTTCGATACTCATTTATCCATTCTCCGTGTACTGTACTTCCACTTTTTTTAAATTACATAATACTACATGCCTTATTTTTCATTATTCATGCTGAATGAAAAGGGCTTTGCCTAAGTGCAGAGATCACCATGTATTGTGGTCTGCACATTTTAGAATGATTTTTTGAAGCTTTAAATGACAATTTAACAAGGTACAGAACACTGAATGTACAACACTACCCCGCTGGATTGCCGTGTAAGTCCCTAAAAAATTTTAAGTGGTCCCTACTTACTGTTGGATTTATGAAGCCTTTAACACAAGGGCATCATGTCAACGAACACATTTCCAATTAAATAAAATCTATGCCAAGACAGGCCAGAAGATTACACTTTGACAGGGAACAGGAGCACCATGTGGAGATTCGCAGCACTGGAAGTACTCCGTCCACACTTGTGAACGATATCCTGTTCTGGGCTTGTGAAGTGTGGAACATTTCTATACACTGCACATTACAGGAACCGCAATATTACTACTTAAATACACTGTGGAAGGTATTCGAGTACTTGTCCGATCTGTTAATTTAGACTTTACCAACACGTATGTTAAAAGAGGATAAAGCAGGGCTTGCTTTAACAGCTGCAACAATGAATTCCTCAAGAGAAGAAGTAATAAAGCATATAAGAAATAATAAATACGTAAAAATGTTAACTTTTGTTACGTATCAAAGACTAAGGACAAATATTGAAAGCGGGAAACAGTAACTTCTGTGGTAAGAGCTGGGAAGCCCTTGCAGTGTGTCTGCTCTTTTGGGAACGCCCAACACTGGGCAGCTGTATTTACTGAGCTCAACCATGACTGAAACCACACAGGTCTGCTGCTCTACTGATGAATTTCCCACGGTCTGCCTCACACGGGCCAGCAGGACTGCATGAACTACAAACACCCGTGTCCATAAGACCCCACATGCTCTCCTTGAAGAGCTTGGCCTTTCGGCACAGCCAAGCCCTGGGCATCTGCGGAAAGTTACCGGGGCGCTCCATGTGGCCGAGACAAAGCGCCGAGCACACAGGGGGAAACACGGCAGCCTGCTGGACCGAGATTCCTCCAGTTTAACCACTTCATCGACAAGCCAAAATGAGACAAGAGCTCCAGCCCAGTCGAGGCGAGCCCCGCTGAGGCCACCACGCTCCAGGGTCAGCCAGTCTTTCACCAGGAAAGGCAAGAGCCGCAGGCTCTCCAATCGGATCTCCTTCTCGAGTTATTGAAGGCGCCGACAAAAGAACTCCCTCCAAATTAAACTTTGAAACAAGTATATAATTTTTAAATGGACAGATACAGAGAAAATAAATTGAGAGAAATTAAAAAAAGTGAAATATTATGCCAAAGAAGTAAAACAAAAACTAATTCAAAGTCGAGATTTAACAAACATTTAAATGATTCTGACAATGTGCCCTGGTCGAAGTGACTTAGTTTAAGATCAAAGAGTCACTGAAATGGTAAGCTTTCTTGTAACATTACATGTAACTGAAATGGATTTTTCTTTCTATTAAGCAACTTTATACACATTTACAAAATACAGACAGCAATATACACATCACAGTGTGAATGTTGGTGGCTCCACCAGCTCGTAGTGTCAATACAAAATGCAGAACAGCCATCAAGGAACAGCGCCTCACTGAGGTGGAGCTGGCCAGCTGCACAGTGAACACCACAGTCCCTGTGAGTGCAATACAGTGCAGAGAAGCTGCATGCGCGCTGGGATGAACAGGAATTAAATGGATACATGACGGACAGCTGCAGTTACAGTGGTTTTCCACGAGGCCATCCCTGGCGCGCTACGACATCTGTCTGTCTTTGTACCACTCCACAAACTCATCCAGCAACACGGGCCCTGTGGGGAGAGGACACACAGCAGTGAGTACGCACCGCGGTCAGGCGCATCGCGGTTTCGTCCCGGGCTTCCCGCCCAGGCCTCCCTGCGGCGGTCACTCGGGGACGAAGACCATTCCGTCCTTTTTCCCCAGAAGGGTCACCCCGACACCGGAGCCTTCGGTACGCCTTGCCTGGACAACAGGCTGGGGGCCCCTTTCCGTTTCAGGGGACTCGGCAACGCCGCCAATTCTAAATCCCAACTTTCACGGCCAGTTCGCCCGTGTTCAGATCGCCTCGGGGGGAAGATGGTCCGTTATAGCAAGACGCTGTTTTATAATTGTCATTCTAGCACAACAAAAGGCAGTTTTTTAGTATTTATTATGCACACATGACTTTTAACACTAAATAAGCCATTAAAGTAATATAGCGATAGTAATAGTGAAATAATAAGTAACCTATACCCCCTAATTACCACTGTAGAACACGGTTTGCACATTAAAAGCAGGAGTCCTCCTGTGCCGTGACTTACAGAGACCTGTTTGATGTCAAGCAGGTAAGAGTGTTCCGGTACCGACAGCATGGAGATTTATACTCACAGGCCCCATCTTCATCGTAGTTACTAAGGTCAAGATTAATCGTCCGGCTGAACTCCAGCACATTGCACCACTGGTCCTTGTTAATTACTTTATATTTAGATTGCTACAAGGAAAACAAAAATAAGAATTGCAACTAACCTCATAAAAATAAACGATAAATATTTCCATCCAAAACAAACTCAAGACTGCAAATAAAATCAAAATACACTTTCTTCCCCCAAGTCTGCAAAAGTTATTTTGACCATGAGGAAACTGGCCATCTTCACATGCATGACCTCTACACTGGGGGCCTGTACTAACACACACTCCTGCCCGGTAGTCCCTACACCTCAACCCTCCAGCTGATGTAAGAATCTGGACCCATGCTGATAGGGGACATGGTGACGCTCAGACACCAGACACAAGGATACCCTCAGGTACTGGACTCCTGATGGTCAACTACTGCACTCAAGCCCTTCAGAGCAGTGAGTAGTGGCCCCCGTCACAGCGAATGAACCGACCCCTGTCCAGACACCTCAGACGGGTGTCTTCCTCTCTCCTGCCAGTCCTGAGGTGATGTAGCGCCGAATTATTTGAGACAGAGCTCTGGCAGTTTGTTGCGAAGGGTGCATGCCTCTACCCCCCCCAACAAAATGCTGAAAAAAGCTGAAAGGAGAGCTGCAGCTACTTCACAGCGCAAGCAGCATGGTGGAGCTCCACCTGTGTGGAGACTTCACACACGAGCCCAGCAGCTTCAGCCGGTCAGGAGGCCTCGCGGTCTCCACAGGACGAGGCGGCTGGAGCTCCCTCCCCAGAGCACGGCTTCAGGATCATCCCTATCTGAGCGGACCGGAGCGAACTCACAAACGACGGGAAAATAACCCAAGCTGAAAGGAAAGGATGGCAGGGAATGCAGTCAAGGACCAGATACCTCTAGAAACTGGTTGAAGACGGGGAAGAGAGGCCATGTTTTGCCCAGCAGCAGACCCAGCATACATTTGGCAGTGTTAATGTCTAGACTCCGCTGGTCCTTCTCCTGCCCCAGAAGAGAGAAACAGGCAGTCAAACCCCAAGTGGCAGGCTTGTTAAAGACCCCACAGCTCAGGGTAATAAGCACTACGCAAGCAACAACTCTACAGCTTCACTATGCAGGACGCAGCACGACCGATGTTTCAGTTTACTTTCGTCCCAAGAAAAGAAAGATGAATGCTCTTAAGCAGGGGCACAGAGGTATAATCGTTTACTCCAAAATTAAAAACATTATGCCTGAAAACGGCACTTCATTAAGTAGGGCATCTTTCAGCAATGGGAAATAATCCAAATCAGTTCTAGACAATTGATACAAACATATGAAGGACAATTACTAGGAGAACGTATACATGATAATACTAGGCAGTTATGTAATGTCAAAGGTCAGCCCTGCACATGCTAATAGTACGTGTAAGTTTAGATTCAGCTCGACGGCTTTAACTTCAGTTTCCGGGTACAGCTACTACTTACCCGTGCAAAATCAAAAGCATATCTGTAAATCAGCTTAAAATTCGACGACTCATTCAGTACAGATCTCAAATAGTCTAAAGAGTTTCTTAACTTCTCCGTGGTGTCACACCTGCGAGTTTGAAGAAAAAATTCTGATTAATGACCTTTACTCCATCAGAGAGTGCAATTCAAACAAGAGATACCAAGACCTATCAATTCGTGTGCATTTAAAAAAAAAAATGTTGATGAACATTTTATTTTTGCCAGGAGCACCTGGAAATATGTTAATCACTTCTGCAGCATCATCTCATTGGCCCTTTAATCAGAACAGCTGGGTGCGAATATCCTTCCCAACCTAGAGCCGTCTGGTCAGAAAGACACCAGCGCACAGCACGACCCAGGCAGGAGCTGGAACCTCTAGGTCACACATGTGAACTGGCCAGGCTGGGACAAAGCTGCAGCCTGTAATTAGCCTGTAATTTAAGTACCTGCGATTTGCCGTTGGAACACGCAGCCCCATAGACTAACTGCTGCTGCAGTATTCTTGAAAGGAAATTCAAGGGAATTCTCCTAGTCCATAAACTCACAGAGTTGTGACGGTTCCTATGATGCAACTAGAGCGGTACTAACTTTTTAGTTAGCCACATGACCTGGGCTTGAACCCGCAATGGCTGGGACACAGAGCTCAACCTGCCTCTGCCCTGCGTGAGCCTCTAGGCCCTCTCCAACTACACAGGGGAAGCCATTCACCCCGTTACATGCTAGCGCGCAGATCACGCACAGAACAGGGGTCACAACCGAGAGGAGGCCATTCGCCCCCCCGCCTGTTCGCCCCCGTTTGCCAAGAGATCCCAGGGTCTCACCCAGCTGTCTCTCGATAGAAGCCGGGGTATCAGGTGGCTTGCTTCACACTCCCACCACCCTTTGTGTAAAGAAGTGCCTCTCCCGTTCTCCATTTTAAATGCACTTTCACCCAGTTTCTACTTGTGTCCTTGCGAGGCTATCAATGGCATAACAGCAAGAGCAGAAAAGCTGGAGAAAGGCTTCATTTCTTTACGGGACAGTTTTATTAATCAGGAAGACAATACACGCCCTGCAAGCAGCTCCTACAGAAACCAGGGTCATGGGAGTAACTTACTGTAATGCACTCATGCCCTTCAGCCACTCCTGTAAGGTGAAGTATCCCATGTTCTGTGCATCCAGCTTCCAGGCTAAAACCAGCATCACAACCTACACAGGAAAAAGTGAGAAAAAAAGTGGCATTATCTAATACCACATTAACACTGAGCCCCTGTGTGCAATAGCATGCACACTGTATTAATACTATACAGCTACTAGTATAAGCTTAATGAGTCTGACAGAGCAAAGGCAGCCAAATCGCTTTATTCAGTGGTATGAGACCATTCTCTTACTTTAACTCAATGAATTTTTTATATACTTTCAAAGAAGAAACTAACAGCTGTGTCACAAACCTGCAGCATGCCATTCAACATCCTGCTAGCCTGGCAAGTTCAAAAGCTCAAACACTCCAACAGTTTTGAAAACTCAGGCAGCCTCTTACATTTTCAGGCTCGACTCCAATATCTTCACAAAACTTTTCCATGCCTTCTGGTCCCACAACGTCATCGTTACCTGAAACGCAATTCCACCAAAATTTACCAGGTGCTTTTATCATCGGGTGCTGCCCCAATCACAGTCAACTGCTCGGCTCTCCATGCTGTATGCAGCAGAGAACATAGCTATGTGGTTTTTAAACCAGCCTGGTTTGCTGCAGAACTGTGGTACAGCATCTCTCTCCAAGCACCTGGGACTTGAACCTGCAACCCATCAGTCAGGAGACCTGGGCCCTAACAACTCCAGTACAACACTCACTAGGCTTAGTGTAAACCACCGCTCAAACCAATCACAATCAGAGAGAACTCGGAACTATTCCATGGATATGTCCTTTGAGCAAGTATCATCCGGATATCAAGACGCACCAGTTTGTAAAACTCCCTCACAGTACTGCTCACAGCTTTACAGATACTCTGGTTACGCAACGGCACATTTCTGTCACCATCCGCTAGACCACGGGGAAATGGCTGTGAAGCACAACGTGCCCTTGCCTGTGTAGACGCACTGGGCGTGCAGCCCGACACGGGACGCCTCTCTCCTGAGCTGCGTGCTCGCCGGGAGAGGGGTGCAAGCAGACTCCGGGATCTGGAGGGGTCTTGGACGGTGCGTTATCTGTGCCAGGCTGTGGCCACATCAGCTCTTTCAACGTGTCCATGCAGAGGCACAGAGCAGGCCCCGCAGGCCCGCCCAGGCTAGCCCAGATGGCAGCAGGACGCCTCCTTTTACAACTGCGAGGAGAGCGCTCAGCTCCCGCAGGTACAGAGGAGCCACCTCGGCTGCCCGGAGCACTGAATCACTGTTGCCGATCCTACTCTGTCATCTGCCCGATCCACAAAGCATCGGAAACTAAGAAAGCCCAGGACTTATACAGCTGCTTACTATCTGAAACGAGCACATTATTTCTCCTTTAATAGTTATGAGAGAGCGCTGTGGAGCCCCATCTCCCTCCCGTCACCCCACCCCCTCCTCCAGCCCACCTGCCCTGAGCACCGCGCCTCTCCCCTCACCTGCATATTCATAAAACCACTCCAAGCAGCGTTTGCTCGAGAACACCTCTTCATTCTTGATCCTCGTGGCCTCGTGTTTCCTGTACATCCTGCAGAACACGAACACCAAGGCGTTACGGCACACGAGCACAGCCACCCCAATCGCACTGAAGCGTCGGGCAACAGGCACTGCGGCCCCCCGGACCCACAGAGCAGCCCCTGACCGGTCAGTCGAGGTCGCACTTCTCAGGGTTTTGAATAATATGAGCGGGTCTCAATCTCAATTACACAGTGCGGCAAACATGAAATTAAAATTTAAAACGTTTTCAAAATGCTACTTGATAATGGCACTGAAGAACAAACTATCACAAGGAACTTCCCTTTTTGTCAAACTGAATCTCCACATCCAGCATCAGCAAGCAACTTATTTCAAAGAACACAAGTGAAAATCACAGACCCTCCTGCGAACATCCTGGCAGGGGACCGAGGATGAACGGAAAGCGCTTTCAAGTTAAAGCGACGAACTCTACAAACGAGCTCTGTATCCAAGGTTACTGGGCATGTTGTGCTCACTGCCTTGATTTCTGGATGCTCAGCACTCAAACAGCACAAACTACACGTCACGATGGGGTATTCCACCTGCGTGCCCACAGCACAGCTTTCCATCGGAAAGACTTTGCAGGAGGCAAAGGCATCATGCTGAAAGGCAAAGAAAAGAAACACGACAGTTTGGCTGTGGAGCCTTCTTCAGGTTCCAGAGAGAGACGGAGGCAAAGCAGGAAGTGAATCAGGCATCAGAGAAGACCAGAGAGTAAGTAGGACGGGTTCAGGGAGCAGACGAGAGCGAGAGTGTAACCGAAGGCGCGGCGCGGCGCCACGGCCATCCGGGAGGCAGGAGAGCTCTGTACCCGTCATGTCTGCTCTTCTTCGCAGACAGGTCGTCTCCCGCCGCCGGCCTCCTCTTTTTCCTGGGGGGCATTGGCTTCGTACAACAGTCCGACACACCGCACGATCGGAGGCTCCCTAGAAGACAAGCCAGAAAGCCGTCACTCCGCAGTCGCGCGCCCCGAGTGGGAGCTGGGCTGAGAGACAGGTCTGGACCATCACACCACACCCAGCCGAACACGCCCGCAGCTGTCGGACTCGAGCCCGTCCCGGTTTCCGGGAGGTCGCCCCCCGCACCTGTCCAGCACAAAGCGAGGACACCCCGCTCCCCAGTACTGGCCACTGCATCACTGCAGAGCCCAAACGTGCTCCACTGGCAAAGGGCCCTTGCCAGCCGAAACAGATAAGATTTGAATTAGAGTATCTGGTGGATTTCTTTCACTGGGCACACCGTGTTAAAATATTGTGAAAAAATAAAATACTATTACTCTCAATGTTCTGTTTCCAAATGTGGATAATTCCCAAAATTAAAACCCTGAGTATGGAAATACCAACCTACGTTTTGCAAAACTTCCCAACTTGTAGCACTAAGCAAAACTAAAAATCCCGATTATCCAATGCGTCGTGCTAGTACAGACAGTCCACAGTGTGTGCTGGTTCGTTTCGCTCACAGCACTGCTAAACCTGCACTGGGGCAGAGCTGCAACAGATCCATCGGGGGATTTAAATACCTGTCTGGTGATCCTCCCGGCTGCTGTCTTCCGTCAGGTTCTGTGGAGACAGATATCATTATGCTCCCGGCTTTACAGAAGCTGTCGACGGAGATCAAACACAGAGGTCAGGAAGTAAGCGGCTTACAGTTTTCTTAAGCCAGCAACCTTGCGAAAAACTGCATCCTTTTAAAACAAAAGGTACCTGTTTGTTCAAAATACAACTTTTTTTTGTGGCACCTGTGATTAGAATACACACATTGCAGAATCACAGCAGACACAAAACCAACCACATTGTATTCAAGGATACAAAAACCACTAACACAAGCATATGGAAAACGTTCCTAACTTGCTGAAGTGGGAAGGGTCTAAGCTAGCCCCTAGGAACATGCACTGAAAAGATTTTAGAGTATCACTATGCGGCTGTGGATTTCCAGTCAACAGCAAAGAGCAGAGCTCTGCTCTTTCTGCACTCTGTATACCCTCCGACACTGCCCATATCCTTCAGCACGCTGCAGCTAAACTACAGCAGACCTGCTGCTTTTAACCTCCTGGGCTTACAATGCAGCAGAACACACATGTTATTCTATATCGGAAGTCAATATTTCACATGCTCATTCGGTTAATTACAAATCAGGGCCTACGGAGAGAGCAGGAAAAACCCACTCCTGACCACACCAGTTCAAAACCCTCACATCTCTTCCAACACCCCCAACATGCTGTATATTAGCCACAGGGGGAAGCTAGACTTCCTGCTCCGTGATTCAGGCCAGCTGAGACGTGGGTCCTGTACAGTTCAATACACTGAACTATTCTGACCTCTTTAGACTTATAGCACTCCTTCTTGCCCTTTCTAACAACCCAACTGCGGGAACAGAGGTCACACCTGTGCTTCACTGAGGAATGCTGTCTCCCAAGGCTTCTAGGAGACTGGGAGTCCTTACAGAGGACTGCTCCCAGAGAGATCTGGACACTAATGAGGGAAAGGCGCCATGCTCCCTGATCTGCCCCAGACAGGTGAGCTCTGTGTGGTGGAAGAGCACAGACTCTCAGACAAGGCCTCAGTAGGCAGTGTATGTAAAGAAACAGCCCCAGAAGCCTGTCGCGGTCTTGTGGCTCATGGTGAGAGCATGCAGCTTCCCCAGGGGTGCCCTGTCATGTGCAGGAGGGTAAAAAGACAGGAAATGTGATGCCTGGCGAAGGAGCCATTATGGCTCTGAGGCGACAGCCACCCCATAGTGCACTGCCTTGACCTCTTCCCTGCTGCGCAGCTCGGCAGCGAAGAGGCCTGTCTGGCCCCGCACTGCAGCGCTAGGAAGCTCTGGGTATCCCTTTCCCTGCATTCTGAGCAGGCGTAGCAGACACAGACCAGAGTGTTAAAAGACCTAACAAAAACGCACTAGACTAATTAAGACAAAGTACCCGAACCTTCTTCCACATGACAGAGGTCCAACCACAGGTCTCGTTAAGACAGGCTGTAATAGAGCCTTTTAACCCAACTCTGCACATTCCAGGCAAGGACAGTCGCTGCCCCTGCACATGTTTCTAGAAACCCACCCCTTCACATCCCCGTCTAGGCCCTAAGGAGCAGCTCTAGGACTACAGGCAGGGAACAGGCTACAAACTCATCGGTCTTCATCGCCAAGTGTCTGCCTGCCCATCACTGATGGAGGGACCACACAGAGACGGGTGGATTTGGACAGAAACCATGTCACCCAGCATTACTGCACAAAACAGAAGCCACTGTCATTGTGTGGCTTTGAGTTCATCTTCTTCTTCTTCTTCACAGCCTCAGTCCCAGACTGTCCTGGGGTCAGCTGCTTTGGTTGCTCTTCTCCACTTGTCTCTGTCGAGCACATCTTCCTCACTCACTTCACATACCTCCATATCTTTTCTCACACAACCTATCCATCTCTTTCTAGGCCTGCCTCTTCCTCTGTTACCTTCCACCTCAAATTCCATTACCCTCTTTGTTACTTCCTCAACGTCCCTCCTCATGATATGTCCATACCACCGTAACCTCGCCTCTCGCATCTTCTCAACCACATCCACCACCCTACATCGTCTACGGATTTCTTCATTTCTGATCTTATCCTTCATTGAAATCTGCAGAATCCATCTCAACATCCTCATTTCAGTTCTTCTCATCAAGTTCTCTTCCCTCTTTCCAACTGCCAAGCATTCAGCTCCATATAGTAGTACAGGTCTAATCACAGTCTATCCCTCGGGAGGGGGATCAGAATACCCCCTGGGTATCCCTGCCCGTCGTAAGAGGCGACTAAAAGTGTTGTCAGGAAGGGCATCCGACGTAAAACCATCTTGCCAAAACCATGGTTGCAAAGAACACAAAGCTTTGAGTTCATCTTGTGCACCTAAATTAATTGAGGTTTGCCACCACAAAGGGTTAGAATACTTCAGAAAGAAAAATGGAGAAGTCATGATTGCATACCTGTTCGAGTCTTGTTGTCTACTGCTTTGATTGTGTGGAGTGCAGTGTTTGCAATACTAGCTACTTCAAAGTGCAAACTTTAAAGCAAACTAACATGAAAACTGTTCTAGGGTCTGAATACTTTTGCAATGCACAATTTAATGACAGCTCAAGTGCAATTCGCTCCTAGCATTACAGTATAAATTTAAATATTAGTTAGCATGCAGGTGTATTGTTTAAAGAGAAGCCACTGTTGTGAACTACAGATGCACTTGTGTCCTGCTGTACTGCACTGGAATTTAAACATATGTAAGCATGTGTATTCATATACCCTGAAACTTTATGAGCTTACAAAAAAAAAAGACACTGGCCAGTAAAAGCAAGAGCACCACACTCATCTTGAAGTTTTTGCTACTGTTAAAACCACATCAGAAACATTATTACCAGCCTGTTGAGGGTGTGGTAAATCTTCGCCAGAGTAGTAAGGTGAGAGTTCAGCTGAAAATCTGTAAAGAAAGAAAGCCACATTAACTCCCAGTCAGGAGTTCACTGTCAGGTGCAGTACGTTTACAAGAATCAACTCATCTAGGAGGGGATGAAGAGCCTCCCTACACAACTGCTATACCAAGGCCACATGAAGGGGATCCCCTCATGTATGTGTGAGACTCCTGCACATCTCCTGGGACACCCCCAGGAGGTATATATTCAGATGAGTGCTTTGTCTGGGACAAATCTTGGTTTTCTATTGGCATCATGCTCAGTTAGGACTTGGGAGATGCGACTAGCACACGACAGATCCCTGAAGGCGAGATCTGAGCTCAGCTCGACCTGCACAACAGCAGCACAGATCTGAGATCGAAGCCCCAGCACGAAGACCAGGGCTGGGCTCAGTTTCTACAGTTCCATACTTCCCGCGACACATACAGCTGATCTTCCACAGGAAGGAACAAGGAAACATTGCTGAACATTCATCTGATGCGAAATGCCGATTTTTTTCTCCTGTGTGGATGAGATACCCAGCGAGGTCGGACTGTCGCGTCCCGCTCCGCACAGCTCGGGATGTCCCAGCACGCTCGCTGTGTGCCAGGGCCTGCCGTCTCCCAGGGGCTGGGGTGGTCCACATCACCCCAGCAGCAGACAGGCCCCCCCGAAGCCAGCCGGACACCCTGGGACACACTTTCTGACCCAGGAGGCAGGCGGCACAGGTCCAAGCCTGTTTCAGGAAGCAGCTGGATGAGACCCTGGCCTCGGGGAGTGACTATGTATGGAACAGGCCCCGATGGCCCGCTCTCTCGCAGCTCTGCATCGGAACTGGGCCGGCCTGGAAACCGAGGCACCACACAGGCCTGCCGGGTCGGGGCTCCGACCCAGTTCGGCCGCCCGGTTATCTGCGATGCCCCACCCCCCTTGAGGACGTCAGAAAGGTCGCACAGGCGCGGAGCCCGTCGGTCCACCTGCCCTCTGGGGTTATTTCGCTCTTGTCCCCTCAGAGCGCTGGGTCTACCTGGGTCTACCTGGACCGGAACCGGACCGGGACCGAACCCGCCCACACCGCCACGACTCTGAATTGCACGTTAGAAAGACGCCCAAGCCTGGCTGCTACACGAAGCCCGTTTTGCTTTAAGTTATTTTATGCAGACGGTGGCTCCGACATTAAACCCGACCTCGGACTGAAGTGACGGAATCGTGGATTTCAATCAGCTGTGTTCTGGTACCACACTGACCCGTCCAACGTTCAGCCGAACCGAGTTTCCCCCCAGTTACCCCACTTCAGGTGCAAAAGAAAGGGGGGCAGACGTGTTTTATTTTCCTTTAACTTCCAGGAAAACCACCTGCTTTTCACTAAAAACTGTAGCGTCCCCTGAAGACTGCCGCATTGTATAGCTATGTTGTTCAATATGACTTACTTGGGATTAATAATATTCTCTTTTTGTCACCGAGTCAACCGTGTTATGGAGTCCCGTGTTGCAAGCAACGTGGAGTTCAGCTCCAGCTGGAAGCCTTTTCTTTGCAGAACCAACGCCACGACTGCGAGAGGCAATTTCTATGTCCAGGCCAAGCCCGACTGCGCTTCGCTGTATAACATAACAGTACAGACAAGTTGCCCCGAGTTTTACAAAGTATGAGGAGCGCGAGTGGACACATGGGGTTTGTAGTTCATTTGCCACCGCAGGCTTTTGTCTACCGCATCCGCCGGTGCCCGAACGAACTACATTTCCCAGAGTTCCCGGGAAGCGAGCGTTCATTCAACACCCCCTTCTCCTCACACTCACCCCCAACTAATGAATGCGATATAAATTATTGCAGAATCGCTGCTACGTAAAATAAACCCTGCAAATCGCTTCATGGGTGGCTTCTGCGTCCATCACGGGTAAGGCCTGCAACCGTGTTGCACATCTGGCAGAATTGAAAACGATTTTCCAGACAACTGCGTCACAATTTTCCTCCTGCTTTTTTTCCTCCCGCAGTTTGCTTGAAAACTGACCTATTTACGCTGTAAAAACACAATATAACCCTTCGTTTTTCTGCGCGATCCGCAAGCATTCGCGAGATCCTTTTCTTTCACAACAAACCGCGATTACCTTTTTGCCGGGGGGGGGAAATCGTGCATTTTCTTCGTCTCGCATTATGGCATCCTTAGCTAGACAAAAGTGCAAATGCCGATCGTTTCCAGCCCCTGCACGGCAATAATATGACCGGGAAATTCGCCTCTTAGAAGACAAGGCGTAAATTAATACCAATTAATACCCAGCACAGGGTAACAGATGAACTGTGCGGAAATATAAACGGGAAAAGTAAGAATTTGACCTGGCACGCCACTGCGGGCCCTTCTGGACTGGTAAAAATGAAAAATAACAATGGTAATTTACGAATTAACAGTAAAAGGCACAAATACTTACTTGCCGCATCAGAGTGCATTTTTATCAAACACACTGACCAGCTTCTCTGTGCAAATCTGCAGACCGGCCAGTGGGCGGGGCATGTCAGGGTGACACACGCCCCCCGATGATTTAGGTGGATGGAGGACTCCGCGGTCCCGCCCATGCCCTGTTCTGATTGGAGAACCATAACGTCACTTAACCTAAGGAGGCGGTCCGAGAAATACAGCCCTCCTGCCGAGGAATCTGAGTGGCCAGGGCTCCAGGGAGACCCGCCCCTGAGCGCATCCTATTGGTTAAGCACCTCGCCACAAACATCAGTTAACCGGAGTTTCCTCGTGCAACATGAAAAGCCAGCCCACGATGGAGCCTCATTGGTGGGGTGGGGACTTGGTGCCCGCCTCTTTAGGGTTTTCTATTGGTCATTAGACCCTTCAATCACCCGAATATCGCGTATGCGGGGCTATGATTGGTTCTCATGACAAGCTTGTTTATTATGGGGGGTGTGGTGTGGTGTGGTTTGATGTGGTCTGTTAAGTGAGAGACCTTAGTGTGAGTTTAAGAATGTACTGCAGGATTTACGTGTAGCGAGAAAATTGTAAATTGCTTATCTACTAACACGAGATTTGACTAAAGACCGATGTTCTATGTGCTTGTTTTTAAATGACATCTGAAGCATTAGGAATGGTTCTCAAAATTGTACAGAAGCATGGCTTGTGATCAGTCATTCTTTTTTATTTAAAATTAAAATAAAATTCAGTGCAAATGCATAAATGTTACCGCTGTCAGCGTCCAGTGCCAATTTACGATGTTTTTAAAAGGAAAATAACGAGAAATAACGAGATATAAATAACGAATAACATCGTATTAATCATTTTAAGTGCCTTGTGTCCTGCTTAGGCAGTACTGTGGTCTGTACACAATAAAAACAAGATCCAAGCGAGGACTGACAAAGCTCTCTCTTCTGTCGTGAAAAAACACGGATATCAACAGGAGAAAACAGGCTTTGGCTGCTCCGTTCAGACCGAAAGATTCCTCCACCTCAAGAAACAAAACTTCACAGAAATGATTGAACTTTAACATGGCGACGGATTGCAACTGGAGACAAATATTCATTTCCCCCCCCCTTTTAATCGCTTTTATATAATACCACAAAAATACACTAAAAAGGCGTAGACAAGGAGTTTACAGTGACAGCTTCAACTGCTCAGCGCTCAGACCCCTGAATCTTATGTACTGTAGTACCGCACATTGAGGGCAGAGTGTAAAAATCAATAACCTGTCTCTGGAAACACGCCTCTCTGGAGAAAGTGTTGAAACCTAATACATTTGGGGTACAGTCAGCGTTCCCACATCTTTGCTTATAGGTCCATTCTGGATGCTGTTTTCTTAAGGCTCATACATTTAAAAGACCAAATTTCACTTCTGTGTGCTTCCATTTCCCCTGTGTCACATTGTTCAGAAACAGGAGCTGCTTTCCTGTCTCCACAGCTACCTGTACAGCACAGGAACATGGGGGAGGCGGTGAATGAGAGGAATCTAGCTTGATCGTTGTTCCAGTAGCTTATTGATCTGGAGATTTACAGATCCTCTGTAATCTACTTCAGTTCTGTAGTGACAAACTAGATTCTTCAGATGATGACAGATTGAGGCAATTCTCTAGAGAGGAGCCTTACTGAAATTACTACTTCAGAACGTATTGCAACCAGCCTGGTTGCAATCCTCCACCAGCGAAATTGATATTAGCCTTTGAGATATTTGCCTGGCTCCACACATGGCAAAGATTAAGGCCATAGTTTCCATGGCTGGTCCTGCATGTCCCCTGTGTCTGCTGCTTGTAATTTTAAATGGGCCCTTCATCATTAATACTTACTGTAACTGACCCGCTTGTGGGTATCGATTTTTTCCACACTCAGTGCTTAGTTTCAAAAAGTGCCATGTTAAAGTGTATTATTTCCACTACCTTCAGCAAACAGAACTTTATGCAGTCTCTCTTCAACGTGCTAATTACACATCTGCTTATTCTATGTCTAACTAAACAGCTCTTAATAGGTGATCAACTGATGATGAACAAGTACACATAGGAGTGACACTTTATGGGACACATCAACGGTGGGAGTGGGACTGAATTAGACACACCCACAACAGGAAGGACAATATATCAGACACACCCACAACAGGAAGGACAATATATCAGACACACCCACAACAGAAAGCTTATGTATCAGACACGCCCACATCTCTTTCTGGTCAGGTCCAATTGATTACGTTTCAGTTAGGTAGTCCCGAAACTGATTAATGGGGATCATACACATTTTGAATTTATTCATATTTTTTAAGAGCTCAAAACAAATGAAAGAAAATGGCCTCAAAACAGAAAATAGAAATAAGTGAGCCTGTGATGACAGACTGGCCTGAAACAGAAACCAGGAGACACAGGGGTGACACGAGGACCAGGACTGAGAGGGGCTGTACTGGGGGTTGTTTGAAACCCAGGCCTGACAGCAGACAGAAAGCCTAAATGAGCAAGCAGATCAATTACTGGCAGCGATTAGCCCTGGAAATTATGGGCCCAGCTGGAACAAGACAGACAGGGGTCCCCCAGGACTGGAGACACACTCGTCTGAGAGCTCACCGCCACTCACACCTGCTCTGCTGGGAGAGGGCAGCTCAGATCAGGGCCGATGGCCTCTGTGGATCTCCTTATTGTATTGATCTCCAAACTAGATTTGACAACACATGCAATTAAACAAAAAAAACCCCAAAATGTTCACACATTCATCTTACAAAATCACATATGGGTGTTTTGAGATGAATGATTGCATGTGTATTAGGAAATTAATTTTCAAATCACTGTCCAGGACTGCGTTTATGGAGTTCACTACAGAGCCAGCCACAGGCTGCGGTGATTTCTCATTCAGACAGTGAGAACCGAGCTCCTCTGTGCCTCTCAGCCTGGGCTGCTCTCAGGCAAGTAGCACAAAGAAACTGGAGCACAAGCAGAATGGCACCGTGCCGCACAGTGTGCTGATGGACGTGCTGCTTTTAAAAGGCTGGATCATGTCTTTTACCAAAAAGCACTGGAAGACCCTGTTGCCCATAGAATTGGGTCTGTCCGATACGCTGATGTTGCTACGAAAAAAAATTAAATAGTTTGTTAAAATAGACATTCACCTGCTTGTGCCTAAACCACACTTTCTCTCATAGAGGTACTAAAGCAGCTTTTCTCTTACACAAATAGCTGCCCCTTCGATTCTCAGAGGAATTCTTTCAGAATATCACATTAAGCATCAGAACACATGATTCTTTCGGTGTCATGAAAGATCCGTCTGGACTTGTCGACACGAGGAACGCCGGCAGTGCACAAAATCGAAAGAGCACTTGTGTTTCTGATAAACGAACAAGATGAGAGACTATTTCATGAGCCAGGGCGTGACAGAACACACTTGATTATTAGAAGCCGCTTTAGTTGCTTTAGGACAGGCAGTTAACGTAAAACAGCAGTATGAATTTGTTTATAATTTCTTGTTTTAGGAATTAATTTTATATACCGGGGTGTGAGGAAATATGAGTAGCTGAAAATTGTTTTAAAGAAATTCCGCAAGAGGGCGCTCCTGTAGAGGGTCGTCATTTGTTCCTCTCAGATCAAGATTTGTTAGTTTGCTCTGAATAATTCAAGTAGCGTTAGACTTGTAGAGCAATAATGAATTGGCTACCTTAAAAACTCACCAAGTACGTGAGTCAGGGACTTCAATCGCTATTTCTGTTTCTAGTGCATTCGTGCTGCTTGGAGTGAGAACTGTGCCCCTAGATAGCGATCGGATAGACAACCTCGGATTCGGCCCTCTAGTGGTCTCAGAGCGAAAAATAACAACCGGAATAAAAAATAATAATCCATAATGTTCAATGCAAAAAACTACTACTAATAATTCCTTATACATATCTATAGTCGAAGTCTTTAGAAGTAATGGGGATCCCCTCCACTCCCACCAGTGTGCAGCCCCACCTGGATGAAGCGCCAGTCTGCTCCCCACACACCAGCTCTCAGTGGGGAGGAGAGCAGAGTGGTGAAGCCAGGTCAGAGATGGGGATTATTAGGAGGCCATGACTGGTAAGGGCCACTGGGAAATTTGGCCAGGGCACCGGGGTAACACCCCTACTCTTTTCAAGAAAATTAATGACCACAGAGGGTCAGGACCTCGGTTTCACGTCTCATCCGAAGGACGGCGCCTGTTTACAGTACAGTGTCCCCGTCACTATACTGGGGCATTAGGACCCACACAGACTCTGACCACATCCAGGTACTGGCCAGGCTCACAGTTGTGAGGCCAGTTATAAATTGCAGGATGATATAGCTACTGAGGATAACAATAACCCACAATGTCCAATAAAGAATTCAAATATGACAGCGGCCGTTATGTGTTACAGTCAACTGAGAAAGAGCAGCAAAATAATCTGGAGGACACAAGTGTTAATGATGAGGAACTGTTTGCATTTGGACTGAGAATCGGTTAAGAGGAAACAGTACAGACAAGGGTTAGGACTTCAAAACTGCTGTGATTAATTGCTGTGATTAGTGGAGGACCACAAGAGCCACTGCTCTCCCTCAGATCCATCTTCAGTGATGGGGTTTCTGGAAGAGCTGGCAAACAGCTGGTTCTTGCAGAGGATACTACATTAGAAGGATTAACATACACTGTAGTGGCATCAAATCACATTTAAAAAGGCTTAGAGAATATTCAAGACTGGGCAAACAGCTAGCAGACAACCTTTACTGTTCACAAGTGCATTGTTTCGCGCTTAGAAATCACACATATTTCACAAGGAATTTCAAGGAAATTCACTTCGAACTAGCAGTTCTTGAGTAAAAAGAGAGAGCGTGGCGTCGGAACGTGCCCCTGCTATAATCTGTAGTATTTCCAAAACACGGAGCTCTACTTGGTTGTTGAAGCACATTGTACTCATTCTTTAAGAGGAAAATGCTAGAAAGACCGCTGTGTTCAATTAGCGGCCCACCAGCCTCGAAAACGCCAGTTCCCGAACTGTTGGAAGCGACTCTCCTGAAGGAGCCAGGATTCTCCAGGCAGCCGTGCTCAGCTGCAGTCCGGGAGCCGGTCTCCGCGCCTCCAGTCCCCTGGGAATCACCGTGGGCAAGCGCGGTCTACTCATTATTCTACCGGGTTAACGGGCTGGACGAGTCTGGGGCTCCTTCTCTGGAGGCTTGAGAGTCAGACCAGAGAAGAGTGGCCAGACAGTCTGGGGCTTGAGGGGGTGAAGGAGCTGAACCCTGCTAGTCTTGAACAGAGAAGAGTACGAGGAGATGGTGAATGCTGCAGATTTCTTCAGAGTCAACAGTGAAATATGAAAGGACAGCAGTGGAAGCTACATTTAAAACTGAGATGTGCAATAAAACTGAGAGCAGGAGGCACTTCTTTACACCAAGGGCAGTAGGAGTCTGGAGCAATCCACCCAGCCCTGGTCTTTTAAAGCAATGGCTGGAAGAGGAGACCCTGGGAAGACCAAACGAGATGGCCAACTAGAAGGCTACATGCCATCATGCTCTCCCGCGAGTGCCGTGGGTGAACTTCAGAGCGTGCCTCGTTCACGGCGCACAGATTGAATTCCTGCGCAGCGCTTCTTCTGTGAGCTCTGCAGGGCAGGGAAGATGGGAACCAGGAAAGACTGGAAGGAAAAACCACAACTTAACGAGCCACGTCGTGCGATACCCCCGAGCTCCCAGCCTCAGCTATTCCGACTGCTCTCTCTCACCAGTCTGGGAAGCCACTGGGGACACTGCCCTCCTTTTTCTTAAAACTGGGAAGCAAGTGCCGTTTTTTTTTTTAGTTTATAGAGGTTAGGTTTTTCAATTATCATTTCATTGAAATTATAATCATTCATTTAGAAATCTCTTTTTGAATTGCCTCTAGTGCTGCATGGCATATCTGTAAGAGAAGAAAGGCTCTGGACTTCAGCACATTGCACGAGGCGCCTGTCAGAATCCAGTTATGATTCCGGATTCAGTCCAGCAGTATCCAGTATTCCAGCCCCCTTAGTGCACCAGTCCTGGGGTCAGGAGATGCGACACCATCACAAAACCTGAAATCCGACGACACCCCAAAATAAGTCGCAACACACTTGTGACACCCTTTAAAAAAGACCCTTCCGTCCAATAAGGAACAGAGGGCGAGTCCAGCTCCACTGAGCACCCAGCCCAGGAGCAGACCTGAAACAAACAGCTGCAACGCACAGGGCTGCTGGGAAACCTGCTCCCAGAGCCCGACACAAACAGCCCCTCGACAGCAAGACAGCGGCAGCCAGGAGTTTCTTCTACACCTGAGATGCCACAGCAGCTTAACTACTCTCACCACATTTTATAGGTTATAAAAAGCACATTTCTATTGTCTAAAATGTAATCCAAAAAGATAAAAAAACACATTTTGTTGAATAGGGTTTTATTGTGCTCCACAGAACATCTCTAAACACACCTCCAGCGTTCAGTAAGCACTTCAGACCCAAGAGATACTGATTCAGTTTTAAATGCTAGTTACAAATGATTTTTTTTACAGAAGTTCAAAGCATAGAGGTTTCAATGTCAGCATTTAAGAACAAAGCTTCTTCGTTTGTCCAGGTAAATGCAAAAGTGACCAAATTAAATATACGACACATTCAGTAAAATGTGCTGGGCCACACATATATCTGACTAATCACAGCCTGGGCCCAGAACATCAACTCAAGCTACTTCTGTGTAAAACTGGTAGGACTTGTGTGAATATTACTTCTCTTCGTCTGCAGATGAGCTCATTCTTCCCAAGCATCTCCATATTTGTTAGTTTTCACTGTAAAATCGGGAGAAGGACAGGAATTAGTTCCAGGAACCGCACTTCCTAAAGCACCACAGTCGTCACACCATTTTCCAAACCCCCCGAAGAGATCAGGCCCACAGCATCTCAGCTCGGAAGCAGGAGCCATCACCCTTGGAAACACATCGCTAGAGTCTCTCACTGGCAGGGAAATTCTCGGCCAACAGCAAGAACAACTGCAAATGCATTTAAAAAATGAACATAAACTCTCACAGGGACTAAGGTGCAAGAGGACACACCCGCTTCCCCCTTAAGACATTGTCCTTTGCTCCCACGTCACACAGGCTCTGCGTCCAGGCTGAGATCAGCGGGAGAGAGGGTCTCTCGGGGAAACGACTCACCTCGTGTTGAATACCTCTGACAGTCTGCAGCTCAGCAGCGGCAGTAAACCACTGCCACCCCACTGGCAAATTCTGCACAACGCAGTGCAGCTCCTAGCCCGGGCTGCTGGTGCGTTCTAATCACCCCCCCACCCGAGAATGAGGAAAATGATTTGCTAGGGAGCAGTTTAAAAAGATCCGATATATGCGGGAACTTTACACAGATCTTTAACAGTGCCTCTGTGAACAGGGTCCCCTCACACAGCCTGTGCTGCTGCTGGGGTTAAACAGGCTAGTGGACACAGGCCTGGCTCCATCATGCCGTGAGGCAGCCTGGTGATCACAAAAGAGCATCATCCCCCCCCGAGACAGCTGGGCCCCAGCCCGGCTGCCTCAGTACCTTCTGGCTTGGAAGCCCTTTCGGAGGCTGGCTTCAGGGGTGACTCGGATTTCTGGGTCATTGCCACCTCGTAGCTCCCCCTGTTCTTGTTGCGTAGCTCCTCGTACATGATGGTCTTCCTCTTGGGCTTCTCGTCGTCAGGGTACGGCAGCGGGGCTGAGGAGGGAAGCCCGGTCAGGTCAGGTCAGGCCAGCGAGAGGCCCTGCAGCTGGACAGGCTGTACCGCAGGTCTCGGACCACACGGCAGAGGAGGAACCGACAACCGACACAAAAAAACCTCCGCTGGAACTGCTCATCAGACCATAATATAGTCCCAAGAGAAACAAGATCACTGTCCTACAGAGGACTTACAGCGGGGCATGAGGTACAGAGAAGCAGAGAACAAAAGTATTACAAAAGTTCTCCTTAAAATAAAAATATAAAATCGACAATTTTCCACTTCCTACACCCCAATTGCGCCTCCCCTCGACCCGATGTCACGTCCCCCAGAGGTCCCTCTGGGAGCACAGCTTGGCCCTGACAGTCACAGCAGGTTACCCCGCCAGGATCCAGCCTGGAACGATGTCAGGACTGCAGCACTGAGCAGGTGCCCTCACTGGGCAACCGCCCAGACCCCGAGATACGGAGGACCGAGCTCGCTCCTGGGCTTGGAGCGCGGCCCTCGCTCCGTGGCACCGCGCGGAGGCCGGGGTACCTTGAGGGCCGAGGTCCTCGGCTCCAGAGGGCGCCGACTCGCTCATCACCGAGCTGAAGGGGGCGGGATGGTAGGCGGAAGGGGAGGGCTCCTGGTCGCCGGGGTAGCTGAAGGAGTCCGCCGGGCTCTGCTCGCTCTGGGGCGCATGGAGCACCGGGTCAAACAAAGGAGATTCCGGGTCTCCCAGCTCCGACTTCTGGGGGCGGGACCTGACATGAGCAAGCCAGACCAGGGAAGATGATCAGTAAAGGACACTGGAGGCCAGTCGGCACCACATCCCCGAGCTACGAGCCCTGCCCGGTTTGCGGATGGCAGATCAGCACAGACCTGTTCCTTCTACCACACATGAAGACAGGCGCTGTCCACAGACCCACAACAGACAGGGGCGTCCGTGCTCTGGGCCAAGACGTGACACGCCGAGGTACTGCGCTTTGCAAAGCATCTGCACTGTCAGGGCTGAAACGCGACTCAGGAAAAGTGCTTCCACAACAAAGAAACCCATGTGCTCCATGTTCCACATCGGTAAAATAGTTTAATAACTAAGATTTACATGGAAAGCTAATGAAGAAAATGAAATTAATAGGGTTTTTTCCCCCATATATACAAATTTTAACAAATGGATACTTTGTCTTTCTGTATCTAAGTGTAGACTAAATCGAACCTTTCACAGATAACACTCCTGGTATCTGGTGGTTTTTGCTAACGCTTCCAGCTTCTGGCCAATGGAACCTGATCGACTGTCTGTGAGGATGCGACTTCATGCGTACAGGACCCCACGTGTACAGACAGCGTGCGGTGGAGCAGAGTAACACTCGCAAAAACAACTGCAGCACCGATTCCGCACAAGGAAGCACAAGGTGTTGAGCAGCGGGACCCCCGGACCACTGACCGGCCTGCCCCTGGGCTGCGTCCCTGGCGAAGAGCTTCCCCCAGCGGAGAGTTCTCCATGTTCTTAAACTTCTCCTGACATGTCTTCATGTAGGACATCTTTCCTGCCAGGTACCCACAAACTCCGGCAACTGCGGGGACACCGGCAGACTAGTCAGCTCACGTACCCCACATGTCCGCCAGGCCAGCCTGGAGGAGGCTTTCACACCCCAGCACTGCGCCCTGGCGGCCAGCGATGATCCACTACTTCCCCACCTCCCCTTGCGCGCTGCTGCTCTTAAAACTTGTCCGCTTTTAACACCCGTCTGGCTTGTGGCTCAGCCTGTTCCCCGGGATGCCTGGCGCCAGGCTGGAGGAGCTGCTAGCGCTGCACGGCTCAGCATCCGGTTCGTCAGCTGGAACACAGGGCTCTCAGCAGGACCGGAAAACCATTGAGAGGGGCTCAGGCCTGGCAAGCTGGTGGTGTTACTCACATGCCACTTTGGGAAGAGAGCCGAACCTTGCTGAGGAACTGAGGACTCCTTAAAGGAAGAAAGAAAGAAGTTGAAAAACTTTGTTTTTATCCTGAAATCGGCCAAGCAGGACATAGCAGCCTCCCCGGGCGGGTTTGGGCTCACCTCTGGAGATCAGCGCCTGCGTCAACATCATGCCCCCGGCAGAGAAGGGCAGCGCTGTGGGGGAAAGAGGAGCGTGTGAGTGTCCCGGGGGCACCTGCCTCCTCCACACGACCCACAGGCGCCGCTCTCTCCCACTCTCACGGGAAAGCTCAAGGAACACCTTCACTTGATGTCTAGCCATGTTCTTATGAATATCAAGGCGTCTTTCCTTGAGGACTGGTGCTGCCCCTCACCTCTCTCTCTATACACTATATATAAATCAGGGCCTGGTGACTTCGGGGGCCTTGTCTGAGCTCCTGACTGAAGTAAAGAGCTCAATAATTCAACGTTCGGCTTTCCCATTGAATTTTAAATTCAGTTTCAATTAAAATCTCCCTCACTCCCTCAAACCAATAACAGTTCAAAAAGGGAAGACCTGCCTTACAAGTGAACGGACCGAGAGCTCAGCTGGAACAAAACCCAGCACTGGAGTTATGAGATCCTGGACTGGGAGCCCTGAAATAAAGCGTCTGTTTTGCTCCTGTGATGCAATGACACACCTTCGCATTACAGTCTGGAAATGATACTATTCAGCGCCTCAGTAAGCCAGTAAGCTTTTTTGTAGAGAAAATAGTGCACAGAAACCAGACAAATCCATTGCTCTACCCAGTTTGTATGGGACAGCATAGAAAATGAAGCAACAACTCAGACTGAGATCACTACAGAGCCACTGACTGCTCTATTTCCCAGCTCCCTGGGCTCCTTCCAGCACATTCAAGCTTCTCATTCCTATTGTCCCTGAAAGTGCATGAAATGACCCTGAATCCTGCAGGCAAATGAAGGAGCTGGAGACTGACCAAATGGATTGACCTCAGAACCATCCCTTCGCTGATCCAGGCAGCCGTGGCGGCAGGAGACAGTGAGCCCGCCTGCGGCCGGAAGGCGGCTCTGTGCAGATCGGACCCGTCCTCCTTCTCCACTCTGCCTCTGCTCCTACACACCCCACACTCACAAGCAGCCCGATCTCTCTCTACAGCCACGGCACTTTGCTCCTGGGCTGCACCTGCCCTGAGCGATGTTAGAATGCGCGCCAGGTATTGTCTGTTGATTCGTTTCGCTTGGAATCTCTTCTATCAAGCTGTAGGGGTCTGGAGACAAGCCCGGCCCCACGCTCAACAGGACACTGCTGGATCAATACAGGACACCCCAATACACACAAAGGGGATGAAGCAGAAAGTCTGTGAGCCCAGACAGCATGCCTCTGCATTGTGAGAGGACACCAGAGAGAAAACTCATGTGGCCAAGGGGGAGACCATGCAGGCTCCCAACAGAATGACCCCAGGACGGAATCAAACCCAGGATGTAGCGGTACGGTGCCACAGGTCATATCTAGCGCACCGCGGTACCGCCCACAGGCAGAACAGTGGAAGGAAGACTGTAAAAGCAGGGACTCACAGCGATACCAGAAGCTCTCTTCATTGCACTCTCTGAAGACCCTCCTCTCCTCCTCTGTGGGAATATAGGACACGCCCAGCGGATTCTGCCAAAGACATCACATGCTTTACAGGTCCACCATACCTCTCTATTCCTGCAGACCTCGTACCCACAGCCACACCCCTAGGGTCTCGCTGTCTCCATCGCTGGCTTCCTTCGGGAAACAGCCGGGCGACACCCTTTAGGCCCAAAATCAGATGGGCAGGATGGGCGCCAGGACCTCCTCTCATGGGTCACGACAGCAGCACAGACAGGCGCAGTGTGCCCACGGCCGGAGGAAACCGACCCGGCCCCCGCCCACAGCCCGCGGTCACGGAGCGTTGCTGCTGCCCATGTTGCCTGCAGGGCGAGCCAGCCCCCGAGCTCACACCAGCGCAGGAGGCAGGTCTGGGCTCACCTGGGGATGTCCATCAGCGTCACAGAAGCACTGGTGCAGCCGAGGGTCGCTCTCCGGGAGCGGGGTGTGTCATGAGCGCCTGTAGAGCTGCACAGAAGCGTGCTACACAGGGGTGCCAGACTAGGCTTCACAGGCACAGCTCCAGAGGCTTATAGTGATGTATCACCTCAGCCTCAACAACACCCCCTCATCTGTCGCATCACCAAACAGTTTAGCAGCATGACAGTCACTGCCTTCCAACCCACTTCAGCATTCCACTGATCTAACTTAGAACAAGCTTTGCTGTTACGTTTTGTCCACGATAAGTCTATCCACACACAATCGACTCGCTTGCTCTCAGCTGTCATGAGTCAAAACACATTGTACACAATAAAACAATCCGAGACACGAGCAACGTGTAACTTTTAAACTTTTAAACTGTTAAGTTTAAATGACGTGTAAGCGTTGACTTCTGGGGATCAAACATTTACGATCCCCTTCAGGTAAACAAGTTGAGCGTAAAAATACGAGGGTCGCACGAGACAAAAAGCCATTAGACTGGATTTGGTTTTTCGGAGAAAAACTGCAGTAACTCGAGATCCTTGATTTGAAAGCGAGATACAATAACAAGCAAAGCCCGGGAAACAGTTCAGGTCAGATTCTGGAGACCTTCTTCTCCAAAGACCTCGGAAACCGGGATCCAGGTCCGACAGGTTAGAAATGATCTCGGGCACTACCTGAGGGGTTCCCCCGCGTTCCTGCTGAGCGCTCGTCAGCCCTGCGGAGGAGACCGGAGACATTTTCAATGCAGCACCAGCCAGGCACGACCCCTGCAGCAGCAGCAGCAGCAACCTGTGACCGAGACCCTGCTAGGCCGGTCAGCCAGCACAGGGAGAAACAGGAGCAGCGCCGTGTGTCTGCGAACGACCTCCACGGCGAGCAGCAGCAGCAGCAGGAGCACGGCGACACCGCTGACCCGGAAACACTTCTCATCACAAACAGGAACTCGCGAGCGTCCCCAGGTCGCGAGTTCCTGTCGAGCGATCTCCAGACTGCTGCCCGGCAGACTCTCGGCCGGGCTTGTGTTTGTTTATTTACCTCGGTGTTTTTATGACATCAGACGACAACACGTGTAAGTCACAGACATCTATCTTTATTAGGCCTTTTTTTTAAAAAAAAACAAACATAATTGTTAAGGATATTTAGGCACACGCATTATGAGAGAGTGGAGCCAGAGTAAACTTCATCCAGCCACAAACGTGAAAACCCCAGCCAGCCCCTCCGACGTCATGTGTATTCGTATTCTGCAGGATCTGGGAAGCGGGGCTTTTATTTCGAGGGAGAAGGTGCTAAATCAGCTGCGAGTGAGCATAACGCCCGTGCCGGACAGGGGCCAGGGCTGGTGTCGGTGCCGGACCGCCCTCTGGACGCGACGGCAAGAGCACCCGGGTCACAGGACCCTCCACGCCCACCCGAGTCCACCGAGCGCCGAGCGCCGCTCAGCCAATCACCGGCACCGTCCTCGCCAGCTCCCCGCACGATTGAAGGCGGCTGCAGCTAATGGCAAGACCGGGGCCTTTCCTGGGCGCCTCCGTTCTGCGCCAATGGGCGCAGCGCCTCGGCGGCACCGGGCCTCGGCCGCACTGACAGGGCGGCGCTCCTATCAGCGCCGCCGGGCGGCGGTGCGGCCTCAGCGGCGCCCTCCAATCCGCTCGTCGTGGAGGAGGCACCTCGGGAAGCCGTCGAGTTTTTTTTTAGGTGTTGGGAGAGAAAAAAAAAAAGAAAGAGAAAGAACATTATTCCGAAACAGTGACGAGAGGGTAAAAGCGACGCTATTGTTCAGCCTGCGAGGTTTACCCGGTTCTCGGTCGGAGCGGATCTGCCTGTTCGGGGGCGCCGAGTGTGGCGGAGGACTTGGAGAGCACTTCAGCCGGAGGGTAAGGGGCGAGCGGCGCTGTGTGCGGCACTGCTTTCTCGCACCGATCCCCCGTGTTTGTGACTCGACGTCTGTGATGCGCTCCTCTCCACGCGTGTGCCGTTTTTGCCTTTCCTCGTCGGTGAAGCGCGCTCTCCCCCGTGCGTGTTGCTGCTTGTAAACGGGCAGGAAGGATGCGAAAGGATGTTTTTTTTGTTCCCTTTCCGTTATGTCAAATATGTAGCCTTTTTTGTTTGTTTGGGGGGCTCCACTTCTCAAACGCAGCGGAGAGGAGAGGGGGGTGGTGGGGGTCGCACAGTCGGAGTAGTGCGTTTTGTGTCCTGTCGCGTCTTGTCGTGTCCACGCGTGGTGCACATCGCCCGGGGGCCCGGCCAACCCGTGGGTCTGCACCGGTGTGACAGGGCTGTGGGCTCACGCCGTGCGCCCCTTTCTGGCCCAGTCTCGGTCCGTGACTGGCGGGCTCCGGGGGGGAGGAGAGCCACGGTCCTAGCGGAGCTGACGGGGGTCTCCCTGCCTGTGTTTGTAAATACCCGGCGGCGTGCGACCCCGCCAGCTCAGCGGGCAGCTCTGACAAGCCGGCCGCTTCTCGGGCTCCGGACCGATCCTGTGCGCACACCCTCCACATTTTAGCGCAGCGAGTTATCTTAATGATTCAGCCCCGACTCCTCGAGTCCGGCTGTGGGCTGTTGCCGAACCTGCAGCGCGCTGGCCGCGGTGTCTGGTGGCAGAATGCGAGCCGGGTCTGTGGAGAGCCGCGCCGAGTGGGTGGCACTGGCGATGGTGAAGGCGGTAGAGAGTGTCTGTTGGATCACCGGCACGCTGAACTCGAACAACAACTACTTGCAAATCAGGTAGTCCTGCTCTCTGACTGCCTTCAGGGTCCTCCCGCGCCTGAACGGACTTACAGTATTGTTGTTAGTGTTCGGAACTTGTTTGCAGTTACTTTGTGTGGTCATGTTCGTTGTCGTCCTGCAGTTGCACAGGAAATATTGTTAATAATAATAATAATAGGAAAGAAGTGTGGCGTCTTGTCCCCTTTCAGCAGTGCGGGAAGCGGGGCGCGTACAGGCGTGTTTTGGTCCGGGTCGAGCCTGAGCTCTGTGGATGGGGGTTCCGTGCGCCGGGGCCGTGGCTCTTATCATTTACCCGAGCTACCGGGAAGAAATAGCCCACGCCTTCCTGCGTGCGGTCCTTAATATCTGTCCAAGCGCAGGTGTTCCGATTAAACTGTCAGGATTCAGCGTCTCCTGTCCTTTTTCTTGTGTTCTCCTTGACGAAGCGCAGACATAGCAAAGGAGATCTTTAAACAAATGAAACAAGGTGCTTTAGGCAGAGTTAATGTAGTCTGAGCGGCAGTGATCTGACATGACGACATGACAGTTTTTGTGTGGTTTCAGCATCTTCCTGCTGAGTGCGCGGTGAGCCCTCCCCTCTTCAGTCAGGGCTCGCTTTCACAGAGGTGGGGAGGACGAGAGTGGGCCACAGCTCGGCCTGGCTGCCCCAGAGAAGTAAAAGTGCTGTGTCTGACGCTAAAGAGCGTTCCCCTAGCCAAGCCTGCCTTCTTTCCCGTTTCGAAGGCTTTTTCCTTCCTGTGGGGTTTTTGAAGAAGGAAAATGAAGGTCACACAAAGTAATATATATAATATATATAAAAGCTTCACCTTCATATGTTTTTTTTCCACTTTTCGAGCTGCAGGGTGGTTTCCGAAGCACTACATGTAGGCCTGCTGTGTTTATTCTCCAGATGTGCTGCCCTTCCATTGTCTAATCGCTTCACCCAGCTCAGAGTCGCCGGGGACTTGTGCCCACTGCTTCCCAAGATAGGCTCCAAGGCAGGGTACACCCTGGGCAGGAGGCCAGTCCCCCTCGGGGCACAAGGCAGGGTACACCCTGG